TACTGTTTATTTTAATCTCTGTGTGCAGCGCTTTGTGACTACCTGTCTATGAAAAGCGCTTAATAAATAAACTTTACTTACTTACTTACTAAAGCCGTAGTCCTGAGCGGTGTTATAAAATGCTATTAATAATATTATTAATGCTTCAGGTTCAGCAAGAGGATACTGATAGTTTGCAATCAGTATGAATTTTGTATTTGTAGCAGCTAACAATTAGTATGATCTATTAATCTCTCAGGTTTATATTTTATTAATACTTTCAGTCTTTTGATCTATGTGATGTGATGCAATTAATGTTCCATTTTAATGTTGAAGTTAACTAATCTACTAGTTATGTTTTTTTAAAGTCCATTTCCCCAAACGCGAGAGTCACACAGAAATAATAAAAAAATGATGGTTAGTAACAAAGACCGTCTCATCCACTTGGTTTGTATAAATCTGTCTTCTCAACATTGACACTCATGCAAATTAGAAATGTCAGGTGATTATTTTGATGATGTTGATCCAGTCTGCAGCACATGTAAAACGCCTGTAATTCCACTTCCTCTCCACTATCAGTTATAACATAAATTACATCCTGGTTGTTCCTCAAAGTTTCATGAGCAGGTTTGTGAGCTTTATGTTAATCACATCATTTCCTTTTGATGCATTTCAGCCCATGATGAATTAAATCTTTGTGTTAAAGTTAAGATAATCCCAGGATCTGTAACAGCAACAAGTTCTGGATCACAACAAGTGTTAACATTTTTTAATTTTCATGTCATCTATACAGAGGAAATTTCATGAAACACTGTAGTATCTAAAACTATGCTGCAGATAAACAGCGACTCCCAAAGTATCCAAAACTAATACGAGGGTTTCTTCCTGCTACAGTAGGTGTCACCATGGCAACTGACTGGTGAAAAAAACACCACCCACAACTGGTAACAATGGGGGCTTATGAGGTATGTACTTCTTGCTGGCGTTCATCCCCATGGTAACCAAAGGAGGTGATGCTGAAGACGAGAGATCACAAAATCAGCACTTACTGATTTTTCTACATAATGAATTTATCGACCAATCAGTTCCAAGAATTATTAGAATTAACCGTGTTCCTATTTGTTACCTGTTGGCTACATTCAGTTTAGTTTTATTTATC